AGACAGAGCCTCAAGCTGTTACCCTAGGTAGAGTGCTATGGCATCACAGCTCACAGCAACCTCCAACTCCTGGGCTCAAATGAGTCTCCTGCCTCAGCCTCCCAAGTAGCTGGGACCACAGGCGCGCCTGCCACAACACCCGGCTATTTTTTGGTTGCAGCTGTCATTGTTATTTTGGCAGGCCCTGGCTGGATTTGAACCCACCACCTTAGGTGTATGTGGCTGGCGCCTTAGCCACTTGAGCCACAGGCACCGAGCCAAAACAACTTCTTAAAGATAAACCTGAACAGGTAGGTGTGAAAGTCAGTGTCTGAACCAGAAGCTATAATGGCCTTTCTTACATTCTAATATACAAAAACAAAAGGAGATTCTGATGAAGAAGTTATTCAAGACAAAGTTAGAGTATTCATTGAAAAGGAAGCACAACTAACACTTTTAGGAACAGAAATGGACTATGTTGAAGACAAATTATCTTGTGAGGCTGGGTTAATAACCTGAATGTCAAAGGAACTTGTGACTGTGGGGAAAGCTTTAATATCTGAAACCTCAGGACTCCTCTGGCTATGAGCTCCAGCAACACTCATGGATGCCTTGGGGCTTACTGAAGAAATCATGTGACTGTCTCCTGATTAATGTGTGGTTGCCTTGTAAGGAAAATAAAGTGATGCATTTTGAAAGTGAAGCTAGTGTATTAGACTCAGGAAGAAGTGATAGTTGGATTCTTTGTAGGGGACAAAAGATGAAATGCCATCACTCTCTTTGGATTATTATCCTTTGTGGTAAAGAAAGAAATCCTACCCTGCACTTAACTCTCTCATGCCCTTTCTTTTACAACTATTGGATTTGGCTCAGTGCCTGTGGCTCAAGTGGCTAAGGCACCAGCCACATACACCTAAGGTGGCAGGTTTGAATCCAGCCAGGGCCCGCCAAACAACAATGATAGCTGCAACCCAAAAATAGCCGGGTGTTGTGGCGGGTGCCTGTGGTCCCAGCTACTTGGGAGGCGGAGGCAGGAGACTCGCTTGAGCCCAGGAGTTGGAGGTTGCTGTG